CCACAGAGACCTCCTCAACTCCAGCCACAGTCAGCAAACACTGGGGACCTCTGGGTGTGCCCCGTTCTCCCCCCACAGGTCTAACAGCTGCCAGCCACTTCCCCCACCCTCCCCTCACCTGTGCGCCAACTCATCTTTCTGCCCCCGCCCTTTGTTGCCCCAACTTTCACACTAGAGCGCATCTGAAGGGGCGTGGGGGGCAGAATCTCATCACCTTTGGCAAACCACAGCAAATTGCTGTGTGAGCTCTTTTGTCTCTAAACACAGGGCTTGCCGCTGACAGTCCTGGGACGTGAATGTGGCTCGGGCTCCCAGGGGCTTAAAGGGGAGGGGGCGGTTTCCCTTTTCTCTTAACCAGCAGGTCGAGGTGCTGTCTCGCTTGTCCCCCACACCTGCACTTCCGGCTACTGAGGACCCAACCATAGGGTTCCCGTGAGCCTCTGGGGGGTGAGGTGTCACCGCTGAATGGCAGGAAGGAGTTGGTGCCATTGTGTCCCGGGTGACTTTGATGGGAAAATAGGCTGCACCCAACCGTCAGCAGGCCACCTTCCCATCCATGCGCTATAAGAATGCCAATTCAGGGGCCTTGGTAACAGCGGAGCAGGCAAGCTCAGGTGCACAGCTTCAATGGGGCCTCATTCAGACGGCAATGATGGGTTTTGTTGTTGCTTCTCGGGTTTGGGGCTTTGTTCTGCAGCGTCTTGTGTCTGATCGTGGTGCCTGTCATGCTTTCCGAAAGAGGCTGCAGACAGTCATTGCAGATTCTTCTGGAAATGTTGTGGGCAGGGAAGCCAGCAGGGCCTGGGGACCCCAGTGGTTCCCCCTGTATTGTCTGGTTCTCCTGCCAGCCCCTCCCTCCCTCTCTTGTGAATTTTTTTGTTTGTTTGTTTGTTTGTTTTAGTTTTTAATTTATTTGCACAATAGACAGTAGAGCTCTCACCCACCGGAGCAGTCATCAGCAGTCTAGGGCTTCTCTGTCAGTCCCTGTCTCCGACCTTGCAGGACGGCCTGCATTAGTGGGAATCCCACATCAGGACCAGAGCCGGAGCCAGGGATCGGACCCTGGGCGCTCCAAGGCAGTATGTGGGCATCTTGCCCACTCAGCTAAACGCCAGCCCTTCCTGCTCCCCTCTTGAACTCACCCAGTGTCCTCAGATGCCAGCTCCCCTGAGAGGCTTTCTGCCACCAACCTAAAACCTGTGCCCAGACACACCCAGTGCCTGCTATGCAGCATCACGTGTCGTTTCTTCTGAGCAGGTGTCACTGTCTAAAGTGAAGTGTGCCTTAGTTATCAGGGTTCTCCTCCTTCTCTATTCAAACAGAAGTACCATGTGACAAAGGACAAGGAGGCAGCAGGGAGCATGGTGGTCTGGAGCGGGGAAGTACATCCATCCATGGGCCAAATCTGGTTGTCCACCTGTTTATATTTTAAATAAAGCTTTATTGTCCATGACCACACCCATTCATTTCCATATTGTCTGTGGCAGATTTCACTGTTGACGCAGACTTGAGTGGCGGCCCTGGAGACCCTAGAGCTCTCTCTAGTTTTTTATAAAAAATGTTCACCCACCTCTGGTCTAGAACCAGACTGCTCATGTCCAAAGCCAGCAGCCACCCCCCAGTCCTGAGACCTCAGTTGGGTCATCGTGCCTCAGTTTCCACCTCAGCGTGGACAAAATAGTGATGATAATCATTGTGGATAATGCTCTCTCAGGTCACGGACCAGACGGAGTGGGTTAGCAACCTCCGGAGCGTGGAGCTGAACCTGCCCCAGAGCCCGTGGAACGGATGTAATGGAGACTCACTCACGGTGCTGCTTGTGTCCGAGGTGCTGAGCAGGGAGGGCCGGCTGCAGTGTGGCCACAGCTCCCAGGAGCTCACGAGGGCATGCACCTACCAAGTCAAACCCTGCCCCAAGCCCTCGGCAAGAACTCCCACCAACACATGGTGGTCTCGCAAGTCACGGAATGCCCCTCAGTCCTGGGGAGCGACTCAGGGCGATCTCCTTCTCTGGGTGTTCAACTTCCCCAGGAGCCCCCCCATAGTTGTTGACCTCCATTCCACTCCCGTGCAGCTCCTTCATCGTTTTCTGGCCTTTGATTGATGTCCTAGTAAAATGCTTTAAGAGCTGCTAGGCATCTCCAGCTGAAAGAGCATTCTCCAAAGGGTTTTTAAAAATCATCATCATCATAAGAGGCTGAGTCTTTGCATAAAAGCCCCGGAGAGAGCTGGCCTGGACATCTTTGTTGTCCGAAATTTGACCACGACTTTATCATTTGTCATCAGCGTGGCTGCTGTGATTCAGCAATGGCGAATTGATCCTATAGCCTTTTGGTTCACTTCATGTGGGTACAAACAGGCCCATTTGCTGAGCTAAGAGGATCTTTTCTATTTTCTGTGTTTCTCCTGTGAAACTGCCAAAGCAACCAAAATGGCATTTTTTTTTTTATAACAGCTTCACTGTTTAAACACGTGAATCAACCTGTTTTTTTTTTTTTTTCCTTTACAACCATCATTTTCTTGTCTTCCTGTAAAAAATGGAAAAAAAAATTTTTTAAACAAGCTGATCTGTTTTCCAGGAGTTTCCAAGCAATTAAACCCAATTAAAACCATTAAATTCTTTCTTTCAATGACAACTTTATTATTAAAAGCTAAACCACAAGAGGCGCTTTAACTGGCAAAGCCCTCCATTGTGTGTTAATCCATCCCTAACCTCTGGCTGACACTTCCAGGAGATAAACCCCACAGAACAGGGAAGCCACCATCATGAATAGCTTTAATTAATACTTTTCTTCCCTGTGGCAGAGTAATTATTCTGATCAGCTTGTAAACAGCTAGCCAGTGGTGATTTGGTGTAATGCCTTTGATTTGCTTTGTGTGTTTGTGAATTTTTTATTCTTTAAAAGGTCTCTAACTTGCTTCCTCCTGTCACACCACGTCGGTGGGGCCAGGCTGAGGCAGGCGGCTACCTTACCTGGGAGCCTGTTGAGGTGGAGACAAGCCCAGGCAGGGTCGTTCCCCAACCCCCACCCTACCCCGCCAAGACACAAGGCTGGCTCCAGGGCAGACTGGTGTTGAGAGCAGCAAACTCAAAGCCTGTCAGTTGGTCGCCCAGCCGTCTGACCTTCCCCTCTGGGCACTTGGGAGATGGGAGCAGCCAAGGTCAAGTGCTGGGTGTGGTCAGACTGCACCAGCCTCTGCTGCTGCTGCTGCTGCTGCTGCAGCTGAGAATCTATCCAGGATGCCACTTCTGGGAAGTGGGTACTGGAGGTGCCCACATCAGCCTGACAAGGAAGTGGGCACTGCCAGGGGAGAGCACCTGTACCCTTTCACGTCCCTGTGGGGCTCCCACCTTGTGAGCCACGCTGCACTCCCCCAGGCACAGTACGTGGCACCTCTCCCTCCACCCCCCTGCCCCAGCTGTGCAGAACGTGTCTTGGTTTTTCTGCTTCTTTCATGACTTAGCTGGCAAGTTCATTTCATTAATAAGGCTGTCCGCTCTGTAACACCAAATTCAGAGACCAAGGTTTTCTGTGAGCTACCATCGTTGAGAGGAGTGGTCCTCACCTTGGGGCAATGCTTGACTGTCATGCCTGTAGTGATGATGCTGTCAGCGTCCAGCTGCTGTTAGCCCCTGGCAAGGACAGGACAGAATTGCCAGGAATACTCTGGTGTTTAGATTATTTAAACACAGCATCATGTAGGCGATTGATAACCAACCAAAAGCAATGTACACCTGCTCCCCTGTGCCCTCAGAAAACTGGGCCAAATCTTTGGGTCGGGGAAGGGTGATTCAATGAATGCATGAATGGAAATTTTTCATAAATACATTTAGAAAACTAACAGCTCCCCACTAAGCAAGAGTGACTGAAATCAAGACTTGAGGGGAACCTCGAGTTCCCAAGCAGACAGCTCTGCTTGTTGCATTTCCTTGGGGAAATGGCCCTCGTGCGCTTTAAAGAGATCCCAGCAAAGTGAGAGCATGCACAGACACACACAGCAGATGCATGGGCAGAAAGGCTGGCTGGGAGCAGAGAGAGGCTCAGATGAGCTGACTCCAGTCTTGGCCCAGGTGTCTGGGTCCCCTAGGGGACAGTGGGGCGGGGGAGTGGCTGTCATGTTAGTTTGGGAAGGCACAGGTGCACAGGGCAGTAAGAGGGAAGCTGGGGCCACTCCACATCCCTGGGAAACCCAGTGGTCACTGGAAGGGCAAGGCTGTCTGAGACAGAGAGAACAGGCTGGACCCAGCTGGCACCTGCTTGTCCATGCTCCTGACCTGAGGAGTGCTGTCCAATTAAACCAATTGCCCGGTCCATGAAATGTGGATATCAGCAATTTTCACTACAGGACAGTCACATAGTCCTCTGCCTTAAGCTTCTGTTCCTTACTTAACAAAGGGCTTTATGTCATCAGTTCCCTCAAAGACATAATCCCATGGTTGGAATTTCGGATTTTTGCATCAGACGATTCCAGGTTTGAATCCCAGCTCTGCCACTTGTAAACAATGGGCCCTTGAACAAGTAACATCACCCCAGAAACAGGGCTCCTTCCAGGTGCGTTTCTGTCAGTCCTGAGACTAACCCCCCACACACACACACCCAGCGTGGTTTTTCCTTCTCTGTTTCTTCCTCTCTGCCATCCTGAAAAAGCGTGGGCTCCTTGGATAAAGTGGCCCAGCCTTGGGAGGCGCTTTGTGGTACCTGACTCCTGGGTGGACATGCTCCTCTAGGGTACTTCCAGACTCTCCTACCTTGGCCCAGCTATGTCCCCCCCAAACCTGTGAAAAACAGAATTCACAGGCTCTTGGGGGCCCCCTTGCATCCTTTTCACCTGGGGTTTCTTGGCTGTGGCTGCACGCACAGCTGGCATCATGTGCAGCGCCATCAGCTTCCTGGTGCCCGGGGCCCGCATGGGGCCCTGTAAGAGCTGGGCATGTGGGGCAGGGGGAGGCTGAGCTTGCAAGGCCCCGCATGTGAGTGACCCTCCCTTGTGTCTCGCAGGACACCACAGCATCCGTGCGCATCGGCCTGATGATGGAGGAGATGATCTTCAACCTGGCAGACACGCACCTGTTCTTCAATGACCTGGAGGTTCGCCGGCTTCACTGTGTGCTGGGTTTAGCCACCTACTTCTAGTCTTTGAGCAAAAGGCTGGTCAGGCTTTTGTATCCACCCCATGCCGTGACGTGCACTGGCAATGGTACTAATCCAACAAAGCTGCCCTTGCCTCCTCCTGAAACTTGCTACTTAATATGTTGAGTGCAGGTGCTTCTGGTCTAGAGCAATCAGGAGCCAGCTAGGATGGAAGCTTTCGAAACGATTTCCATCCTTAAGGAGCAGGGTTCAGAAGCCGAGGGAATAGGCTTCCATAAAGTGCCTGCTCCCAAACAAGAGGCAAGGGCGCTCTGGGAGACGGGCACAGAGCAACCCTGGAAGGAAACGGAATTCAGTTGTTGATCCTGGACATGTGTTGGGAAGATTTGGGAAGGATTTGTGATGGAAAGTGTATTCCAAGTAGAGCTATTTAAAGAGCAAAAGCAGAGAGATAAAAATACTGTGGAAGGAATAAGGGTGAGGATGACGCCCTGGATGGGAGGGAGAGGGGTCAGGGCCCACGGCGTGGGTCTGCAGCGCGTGGGGCAGAAATGGCTCAGGACCCTGGAGGAGCCCAAGTCGGTAGGTCGTCAGAATCCCAGCCACACTCTAACTCCACATGGATGTTGGCTGCTCCTGCAGCTGAGAGCCAGGCGCTGTGCAGGGTCCAGCCAAGTGCTTCAGGGTCCCGTACCCACTTCTGCTCTGTGCCAGCCTCAGAGTCGCACCTTGTAGGCATGGGCTTCAGTCCCAGCTGGTGCTACTTGGGGAAACCAGTTTGTATGTGCCCGAGGGCTGGCCCCTGCACCTACCATCAGGGTCAGACAGTCAGGTTGGGGCCGGGTCTTCTCAGAGCGGGAGCTGTGCCATCCACAAATGAAGGGTCCACACCCACGCCCAGGGGCTCAGGCAGAGAATATGCCGTTTTCCAGAGCTGCTGAGGATGCATCAGTAAATCAAACCCAGCATGGCTCTTCCAGCCAGGGAGGCCAACCCTAGATGCTTGGTTCGTAGTAAGACATCCCATAAAGTGCTCTGCAGAGAGACAGACAGAGAGAGAGAGAGAGAAAGAGAGAGAACCAGAGGGGCCAGCAGGGGGCCTGTTCCATGGGCTGTCACTTCAGTTTGCTTAACAACTGACCCTTGAGCAGAGTCAAGCAGGGGAGGCTGGGGTTGTGTGGGTAGGTGGGGGGTAGCAGTGTAAAGGCCCTGGGGTATGCCTAAGGTTGGCAGGCTCCAAGCACCAGGAGGAGGTCAGGGAGCAGGAGGGACAACAGTGAGCGTTCTCGGTGGGCCCCTACTGCGATCACAGAGTCTGGGTCCCAGCTGAGGACAACCCGAAGCCGCTGGAGGATCGGAGCCGCATAGCTTAACTCACAGTCCAGGGGCGCCCCCTGGCTGCCTGGGGGAGAACAGCCCACGGGGCAGGCAAGGGCAAAGGTGCTAGTGGCAGGTGTCTGCCTCCGCCCCCTCCCAGGGAGTCTGGAGGCCTGGGCAGGGCTGAGTTGGGCTGTTTCTCAGAATTTCCCAGGCTGTATGTCCCAGGGTCCACTGGAGACTTTGCTACTCAGCTCCATGGAGTACAGTCCCACCTTTGATCCTGGCTCAGCCATCTCCTGTGCAGGCGTCTAGACAGGTCACGCCTTCTCTTTGTGCCTCGATTTGCTCATCTGCTGAATGGGTGGAAAGAAAGCTTCATCTTTCCCAGCTGTAACAGTGAAGGGAGATGTATGAGCAGTGAGCCCCCACCCCACCACATCCATCACGTGCCTTTGGGGCCAAGCAATGGGTTCATGTGGTACTCGGGCAAACTGTTTCAGTATCAGCATTCGCCATGACTTCCCTGGTCCCTGGTTCTACAAAACTCCCTTAGCAACGCAGGCAGCACAGAGATGTGGCCAGGTCCACAAAGGCGGTGACAGGCGGGCCATCCCTAAATCACCCCCGAGGGAGGGAGCCTGGGTGGCAACCTCCACCAGCATCTTCCTGCCCCCAACGAAGGTGCCTTTGCTGTCCATACTTTTTGGCGATTGGTTGATTGATTGATTTAAAAAGCAGATTGATGAAGAGGGGTCTTCCACCTGCTAGTTCACTCCCCGGTGAGTGGCCACAGCAGCCCGGGCTGAGCCAGGAACCCTCGTGGCAGCCTCAGAGGGCAGACATCCCCCTGTGGAGGTGGGTAACCTGAGAGGCACAGCTGTGTCCTGCTGCCCGGCAGCCAGCATACATGGAGCTCTGGCCTCACCCCGACTGCACGTGGGCATTCTCTCAGGGGCCTGGGTGATTTGATCTCATTTTACAGATGAACTAACTGAGGCCACAGGACAGTGATCTTCCCAGGGCAACATAGCTGGTAGGAATGACCCAGAGGCTCAATTCCAGGCCAGGCTGCCTGCCAAAGCTGCATGGAAGGTAGCCTTGGGGGAGCAGGGCCATATAGTCAACAATCATTCCTGAGATGGTGACAAGTGATAGTCTGGTGGCAGCCATCCTGGTATGGGGAGGAATTTTAGGACGCAGCCAGGGCTTTCCTTAAGGTCATTCCTTAGGACCTCGTGGGGGCTCGGAGGTTGCTGAGATCTGGGCAGGCTATGGCTGCTTGTCTGGCTGCTGACCCCATAGCTAAACATGATTTATACCCCAGGAGCTAAATCTAATGAAGGGAGCTACTCCCCCAAGGTCAGCAGATGCCCCGAGACTGCACTGGAGCTCCCTGTAGATCCTGTCTGAGCTTTGGGTTCCGCCCCACAGAGCAGGGGAGAGGGGTCTAAATGGCCATCGGCACCATTTTTTGAGCACCTGCTGTTTGCCTGGTAACCCAGCTGTGGACAGGTACATTGGTCATGTTTCAGAATTTGAAACATCGCTGTGTCTCCCAAGAGGATGCAGAGGAGGTGGCACCCCTACAGCACTGGGCACAACCAGTATCCACGTAGTGGAGCCTTACACCATTCTCCAATGACGGGAATTCAGGGAGCTCCAGGGAGAGATGGCTGCTTCTGGGTCTGGGGCAGCAAATCCACAGGATAATCCCAAGGAGCATGTTGCTGGGGACAGGAAGCAGCCAGGAAGTGCACAAAAAAAGAAAAAACCCACAAGGAATGGTGATGACAAAGGGACCAGTGGTCAGCACTTCCTTCCCCAGCTGCCTGTTCCAGGGGAGGATCCCCAGCGATGGCTCCCATTCACTGGACTTCTGTAATGAGACCTGCTATGACACCTCTGATTGGTGGATGTGTGATCCCACCCCTGAGCTGCTGGGCGGGGAGGTGCAACCCATCCACACTGACCTTCGAGGGAATGCTTACCAGGTCGATGTGCCTCCCCTTTGCAGGTGTTTCTTAAGTCAGTGCTCAGCCTCGCCCTGCCCTGCCCTGCTTGTGTCACGGTCCAGGACCCTTCGCTCTGTACAGCTGGTCCTGCTCAAACCTCCCACCCCTCATACACACACACCGCAGGATGGTCACCCCTGAGGCATCCCTAGTGGGGTCTCTCAGAGCAGGCAGAGGACTGTCCTCCCCGAAAGCCACATCAGGCTGGGGTCCTCTGCATTGTCCTGATTGTCCAGCTCCCCTCCTTGCCAGCTCTGGGGGTAACTCGATCCAGGTCAGCTGGTGGAGCATGAGGTAGCGTCTAGCTGGGAGTCACGGTCCTTTATGAAGTTGGAAATGTGATCGCTACTGTTGTCACACTTTAGCGCCCCCAGCAAGCCCCCTCTTAGATGAGAAAAGCAGAACCTCCCGAATACCTTCCCCCTGACATCAAGGAAAGCCGAGGGAACCCTGCTTATGGGGCCTGAGCCTGAGTCCCCCCGGGGGGCGGCCTGGGCAGGGGAGCCTGTCGAGGCAGGGGAAGGCCTTAGTTTTCCAGGTGTGGACTGAGCAACGCCTGAGGGTGGAGATCCGCTGCCGGCTTAGCTCTCCCGCTAAGGGTGTGTGTGAAATGGTGCCGTTAATACCTGGCTTGCTCTCCTGGCCTCCTTCCTGTAGGGAAGATGCTTCTGGGTCAGAGCTCCACAGCGTGAACGTACCAGAGTCAGGAGTAGCCAAGCCAGCAGCCCGAGAGCAGAGGCCACAGCCATGCTCACAGCCGAGCACTGTCTGGGTGTGAGAATATGGGCCCCATGCTGCCACAGGGTGTGAGAAGTCCCAGAGCAGCTGAGAATCCGAAGGCCAAGGGAGAGAGATGGCAGGAGGTGGGAAAGTACCCTAGGTTTCCGTACGGCCACTATGTCCAACGGTTTCCAGGAGCCAGCAGTTACTTACCTCCCTCCTCAGAGGCCCCGAGTTTGATTCCCAGCTCCAGCTCCTGACCCTAGCACCCTGCCAACACAGGGCCCAGGAGGCAGTGGTGAGGGCTCCAGTTGTTTTAGCCACCCTCAGAAGAAGCAAGGGTTCCCCTCTGGGCCTGGTCCCCAATGTAACTTTGACAGTAACCAATCCCCTTCATATGTCACTCCCCCGTCTGTGGGTCCGCTTTCCAGTCCCATCTGGGGCTACCCCAGGTCTGCAGATGCTGCTCTGCTCCCATGGCTTGTATGGCTGCACAGCCAGGACTGCTGTTTCTTTGTGGTTCCTCTTGGACTATGCCAGGTGTTCGAAGGAGGCTTTGGTGTAGGTGTACAGGCTTGGCGCAGTTGGCAACATCTGCAGAGGAAGGGGGTCTCCGCTGGGGGGAATGGCTGGGCCTACACCCTACAAAGCTGTCTCCATGGGCATGCTGGGTTGTATGGCCCCTCCTTAGAAGGGAGAGGAGGGGATAGAGTCTGAACTTGCCCTCCCAATGCGGACATTCAGATGAGGATGCAGCTGCTGTTTCACAGCCCGGCGTTCACAGCCCTCAGCTTACAAAGCCAGCTATCAAAGGTCCCATCCGACTAACACCCTCCTCCACCCCAACCCCGCACTCTCCCTAGGACTGTGACCAGATCCACGTGGATGATGTCTCCTCAGACGACAATGGCCAAGATTTAAGGTGGGACTTGGGGGAGTCAAAAGTGGCTCTTACTTGGTGCCAGATCAAGCTCATCTTTTACCTACAAGTGGGGTTGGGAGGGCTGGCTCTCAGGACCAGATATGCCTCTGTACTTGAACCTCACAACTCTGCCCGTGCCCTGTAACCCATCTACAACCCCTCTGTCTGTCTGTCTGTCTCTCTCTGCTTACAAAGGAATGTGTGCACAATGTAAAAATTCAGACATATCCCAGGTCAGAGCATTGATCCTAGTCCCAGCAGCTCTGCTCCTGGTCCCGCATCCTGTTGTTGCATCCTGGCAGGTACATGACTCAAGGGCTTGGGCACCTGCCACCCACATGGGAGACAAATGGAGCTCCTGGCTTTGGCTTAACCCAGTGCTGATGGTCGTTGATCACTTAGGGAGTGAACCAATGAATGAAAGATCTTTCTCTGCCCTTCTAAGAAATCAAAGTAAAAGCATTTCTTAAAACTAAGAATGATGGATTGGGGTAGCAAGATGAGGCCTTCTGGCCTGGACAGCAAGAAGCTCATGGGGCAGGTGCAGGTGTGGCTGTGGTGGGGAGGAAGTCACAGCTCCCGTCTCAGCAGGTCATGGAAGTGCTGGCAAAGTGCTCAGCCCGGAGTCCTGCCTGAAGGGTCACTTTCAGAAAGAGAGAGAGGGGAGGGAGGCTTCCGGTCGCCAGCCATTGCACGCAGGGGCAGGGGCAGTGACAGTCCCCTGAAGGCAATCAGAGAGGCCACCAGGGCACTTCCAGCAGCTCACAGAAAATGGGAAGCAAAAGTGCTGTGCATGCAAAGGCTCTTCAGAAAGCTCATTAAAAATACACTTATGAAAAGAAATTATGCATGGGTTTCCAAGTTTTTAAGATTGCTTTGTTTATTTGAAAAGCAAAGCTACAGAGACACAGCAAGAGATTTTGTATTTACTCATTTACTCCCCAAATGGTTGCAACAGCCAGGGCTGGGCCAGACCAAAGCTGGGAGCCTGGAACTCCGTCCGGGTCTCCCCTGTGGGTGCAGGGGTCCAAACACTTGGGCCATCATCGGCTGCTAGCAGGAAACCGGATCAGAAGTGCAGCATCCAGAATGCGAACCAATGTTCACGTAGGGGGCCAACGTCATAGGCAACAGCTAAACCCACAGCACAATGCCAGCCCCAGATTTGTAAAAATGCACCAAAATAAGCTTTTAAAAAATATATTTTTTTATTATTATTTGAAAGGCAAAGTACATAGAAACAAGAGTGACAGAGGTCTTTCATCTGCTGGTTCATGCCCAAAATAGCCACAATGGCTGGAGTTGAGCGGAGCCGATCTGAAACCAGGAGCTGCTTCCAGGTCTCCCACGTGGATACAGGGGCCCAAGGACTTGAGCCATCCTCTGTTGCTTTCTCAGGCCATAAGCAGGAAGCTAGATGGGAAATGGAGCAGCTGGGACAGAAACAGGTGCCCACAGAGGATGCCGGAGGCATAGGTGGAGGCTTAGCTTACCATGCCACCATAACAGCCTCTAAACATTTCTTTTAATTCTATTCTCTATGTTTGAAGCCAGCTATGATTTGAAGAGACACAAATGGAGCTAGGCAAGAATAGAAGATTCCACTCTTCTTTAAAGAGCTAATAATGGCCGCGTTGCTTCTCCCAGGGGCCACGTGGTCAACCCCCAGTGCTCACTGAGGGTCTCCTGTGCCCCCAAGGCCCTACCATAGTTCGTGTTGGGAGACCCCACTGTCCCACATTAATGCTGCCCTCCCCTCCCGGCCTCTCCCCAGCACCTACAATTTCTCCACCGACGGCTTCCACAGCTCAGCTCCAGGAGCCAACCTGTGTCTAGGCTCGGGCGTGCATGGCGGCGTGGACTGGATGAGGAAGCTGGCCTTCCGCTACCGGCGGGTAAAGGAAATGTACAACACCTACAAGAACAACGTGGGCGGTGAGTGGCCGCCGGGCCACCCTGCGTGCAGAGGGTGGACACCACTGCCCCTGATGTCGCAGCGGCTGCATGCAGGTCGCTGACCTGACGGTGCCGTGAACAGCAGCCCACACCCTGTGAGCCCCATGGCCCCTGCGGAACAGGCCCCCAAACTCTGCCACCCTCACCTTGAGGGGCAGGGGTGTAGAACAGAGGCCACGTCTCACTACCCCCCAGATGGCAGAGGTAGGCGTTGCAGGGTGGAGAGCTGGCATCACCAGGGGCCCTCCACGTGTGTCGCTCAGGCCAGCAACAGCAACCTAGTGCAGAGGACTTGTGAGAAATGCAGATGCCCAGGCCCCACCTCCTAGCTGGCCAGTGGCAGGACCACATGTTGCAGTCTGGGGACCTGGGTCCCCGCCCCCCCCGGGGGGGGGCCTGATGCCCAGGCACCCTGCAGGTGGAGACAGCACTGGGCATCCCTCGTCCTCACTGTGGCTCCTAGGGCGATCTCCATTCCTGACTGTCCCCATCTGGCTGCACCCTGGGCACTGGGCCCCCAGGCTCCCTGGGGAGTTCTAGTGTCGAATCCACAGCTTCAGTCCCAGGGAGCATTTGTGCACCCCACTCAACAAGCAGCCAGCCAGGGCCAGGGCCAACGGCCAGCCCTGCCCCCAACCCACTGTGTCCAGGTCAGTAGTTTGCAGTGTGTGTGGAGAGGGCGAGGCTGCCCGCCCCAACAGGTGTTTGAGGACCTCCCCTTGTTATGCCACCTGCAGTCAGCACCTGATTTTTTTTTATTATATATATTTTTATAATTTATTTGAAAAGCTCAGACAGATCTCTCAGGTGTCTGCAACAGGCAGGGCTGAGCCAGGCTGAGCCAGGGCTTCAGTCCAGGTCTCCACATGGGTGGCAGACCCCATCACTTGAGCCGTCACAGCCACCTGCCAGGGTCTGTATTACAGGAAGCTGGAGCCTGGACTTGGCACGGACACATGTTGTGTCAGACAGACAGCCATCCGAGGCAGCAGCCTCAGCCCAGGCCACGTGCCCGCCCCCAGAGCTCACGGAGATGACTTTGTTTCCTTCACTGGCAGGTTTGATCGGCGCTCCCAAGAGAGAGACGTGGCTGCGGCTGCGAGCGGAGCTGGAGGCTCTCACGGACCTCTGGCTGACACACTCCCTCGAGGCGCTAACCCTCATCCAGTCCCGGTGGGTGACATCGCTTCCCCAGACACCTGATGTGGCTCCGGGGCTGGCAGACACCCAGACGCACTTCCCAGGGCGCAGCAGTCTTCAGAGTTCTTCCAAAAAAAAAAATCAGCGTTACCATGTGCTCATCAACGGACCCCAGTCCCCACCTGTCCCTGCTGCCCTAGCCCCGCATCACTCATCCTCTGGAGGCTGCTGCACCTGTTAGAGCGTGTGGCCCTTGCTGTAGACACTGCCTTTGTGGACCAGGGGGGTGTTATACCTGTGTCACCTTTCAATGTCAGGCAGCTCCAAGGCCCGATGAGAAACACAAGTGCAGACTCCTCGGGCCCTCCCTCTTGGGAGCATGAATCCGCAGAGCCCCCAGACCTTAGGCTCATGCAGGAGCCTGGGTTCTGACCACTGCCTCCTTCGTCCTCAGGCCCAACTGCGTCAACGTGCTGGTCACCACCACTCAGCTCATCCCTGCGCTGGCCAAAGTCCTGCTGTACGGACTGGGTTCTGTCTTTCCCATCGAGAACATCTACAGTGCAACCAAGACAGGTAGGGGGAGGCTGTCCCTCTGGGGACACGAGAGGGAGATGACCAATCTGTCCTGGGAAGATGGCACCAGGGAAGTTTCCAGAACTGTCTACCAGTGTCCCTCAGAGCCCAAAGCAGTTCTCCTGGCCTCTTTCACCAGGGAACAGAAAAGAACTCAAAGTGAACAGCATTGCTTAAATCTGATGCCTTCTTTTCAAATTTTCTTTATTTGAAAAAGAGAGTTCCTATACGTTCATCCCCCCAGATACCCACAACAGCCTGGCTGTGGCAAGTGAACGCCAGGAGCTAGGCACTCCTTCTGGGCCTCCCGCATGGGTGGCAGGGAGCCATGTGCTCGAGCCATCACCTGCTCCCTCCCAGGACACACACTAGCGGTGATACCAGGATGGGGAGAGGAACCAGGTCTCAAACCGCCGCCCTGTGACGGGGTGTCCTGGGTGGCCCAAGCACATCCTAACTCCTGTGCCCACTTTCCCAAGACAGCTTTCTAATGTGAGAGGTCTTGGTTGGCTTTGGCGAGAAGCATTGGACTTTTTTTTTTTTTTTTTAAAGATTTATTTTTATTATTTTGTTATTGGAAAGGCGGATGTACAGAGAGGAGAGACAGAGAGGAAGATCTTCCATCCGATGATTCACTCCCCAAGTGAGCGCAACGGGCCGATACTATGCCGATCCGAAGCCAGGAGCCTCTTCCGGGTCTCCCACGCGGGTGCAGGGTCCCAAAGCTTTGGGTCGTCCTTGACTGCTTTCCCAGGCCACAGGCAGGGAGCTGGAAGGGAAGCGGGGCTGCCGGGATTAGAACCGGCGCCCATATGGGATCCCGGGCGTGCAAGGCGAGGACCTTTAACCACTTGCGCCACCGCGCCGGGCCCGAAGCATTGGACTTTTAAAATTATTTGAAAGGCAGATGTAGAGAGCAGAGATCTTCCATTCACTGGTTCACTTGCCAGATAGCTGCAATGGAGCTGGGCTGGTCTGTCTCCTGGGTTTCCCACATGGGTGCTAGGTCCCACGACACTGGACCAGCCTTCACTGCACTTCCCATCCAGGTCCATGGTAATGGCCTGGGAAAGCAGCAGAGGGTGGCCCTTAGTGCATGAGACCCAGATGGCGCTCCTGCTGCTGGCTTTAGACCAGCTTGGCCCTGCTTGTTGCAGTCTCGTGGGGAACGCAGTAGGGGATGGAAGATCTAGCTCTTAGTCTTTTGAATAAATCTTTCATAAAAGACAAAGTGCATTTAAACGAGATAGATTGGGGCAGCAGTTAGGGAATGCTCCACAAGGCCCCGTGTGTTTATTCATTTTCTCCTGGGCTTCCTCCTACCTGGTGCCTTTGTTGGCTTAATTAGAATGTGTTGTTGTAGGTAGTTTTTGCCATTCAGGGATGGTAAGAGGAGTCCAGATGCCACGCCTATGCCTGGCGTCACTGCGCACAGGCGCCCTAGCCACAAGACCCAGCTCGGCCACCCCACCCAGCCTCTCTCTCTCCCATAGGTGATGATGGGGGAGCAAGGACTCGGGGCTGGCCCCTGGGAGGGCAGCTGCATGTGGCCAGGGCCCCAGCAAGCTCAGGCCTTCTCTGCTTCCGTCCCTCCACCCCCGCCCTCCCTGTACAGGGAAGGAGAGCTGCTTCGAGAGAATCATGCAAAGGTTTGGGAGAAAAGCAGTCTACATTGTCATCGGAGACGGCGTGGAGGAGGAGCAAGGAGCCAAAAAGGTGCCTCTCTGTCCCCCCTCGCTGTCTCTCCCCCCCCCACCCCATCTCTCTTGTTCACTTGCCATCTTGTCAGTCTGACGCCCTTTCTCCGCCGTCGTCCTCTGTCTTGGTCTCTCACGTGCTCGGCCTCTCTGTGCCTCTCAGCTCTCTCCTGTGTCTCTCTCCCTCTTGCCGATTCCGTCCCTCTCTCCTCTTCGGCTCACTTGCTCTCTGCTGTCCTCTCATTCCCCTCTCCACCCTCTGGCTCATCTCTCTCTCCTTGCTCTGTCTCACTCACCTGCCCTGTCAGGCTCTGTCCTCTGTCTCTCCCTGTCTCCTCTGTCCATCTCTCTCCATCTCCTTGTCTTCTCTCCTCTTCCTGTATCCTCTCTTCCTGCCTCTATCTTTACATCTGTGGTCTCGTCTGCTCTCCTGTCTCCGTTTTTCTCCTTCCCACTCTCTGCCACCCCCCCACCCCAGCCCAGAGGACCCAAGCCCGATCCCTGCCCGTGGCCCCCACCTCCCAGCAGCTGGCTTGGCCGTCTGCCTCCAGGGTGCTCTGCAGCCTGTCCAGGCCCCTTTGCAAATCACAGACGCATCCCGATTAATTTCCTCCTGCAAATCCCCTGCGTGCTTTGGGGGCTTCAGCCCCTGGTAGCCCTGGACCATTTCTTGAGACCCTACCAGGAGCCCCAAGACCTCTAGTCAGGGTGAGGGGCGGGGCCACGGGCACACATATGTGTTTTATGTCGTCCCTGCTGATTGCATGTTCCAGGAACCCTTCCCAGGCCATAAGAACAGTATTAAGCTAATGAAAACGAAAATCCCATGCTTGTGGTCTCAGGCCTGTGGGGAGAGGCCAGAGGGCTCTGGGGGTACAGCTCTGTTCCTGGAGAAGAAACAGCTGCCAGATCCCCTCAACCCTGCCCCCTCCAAAGAGCCTGCCACCCCCTCCTCCGGCCTCCGCCGGGAAGCCTGTGTCCCAGAGCTTAATCTGGGGGCCTGCTTTCCCCTTCACTGCCTGGCAACAAAGACGTACCAAACCAGGCCGGAACCCAGGAGAGGGCCTGTCCCCTGGGTGCTAAAAGCGGACTCTCCAACCCCCACCCGGGCAGGTGCTCTGGGGTCACTTTCCTCCAGGGCCAGGCCGAGGAGGGGGTCAGCTGGGCCTTTTGCCGCACCCCAGCACCAGGTGGGCCTGGAGGCCCCTGAGAGAGACACTCCCTGCAGCCTGTGGGCACTGCCCAGAGCTGGGGAGAAGGCTGCGTAAAGAAGCAAACACTTTACTGTTCACGTAGGAGAGATACAGTCTGCCAAAGCCCCCAGGCCCTTTACCTCCACCTGCAGAGAAGCAGGTGCTGGGAGGCATTTCATGGGGAGCTGTGCACAGCGCTGTGGGAGATGTCACCCAGCAGCTGGCATGTCTTCCTCTCTCCTGATGCGCACCTAAACTGGTCCAGGACGGCTGTGGCAATGTCCAGCCTCAGGCTCCAGCTGTCAGATCTATGTACCTATTTGAAAAGCAGTTACATGGAGAGGTTGCTATTCCACTTCCTGGCTCTCTCCCCAAGCGGCCCCTGCCCGGGGGCCAGCAGGAGCCACAGCATCAGCCCATGGCGCTCTGGCACCTGTGGGGCGCGGGGAGCAGCAAGCATCTCTGTCACGGAGGCTAGCGCCACCCCGCCCCCCACACTGCTCTTGATCCCTTTTCTCAATTACGAATATCCTCTCTTATTTGAGTGAGAACTCCTATCCCCCTAACACTCCCCCACAGGACCCACACAGCTGCAGGGTCAAAACCAGGAGTCAGGAACTCCATGCAGGGTCCCTGCCATGCACTTGGGAGACCGAGGGGGAGTTGCCTGGTCCAGCCCAACAGTGGCAGGCATCTGGAGAGAGCCTGTGGGCGAGAGTGCTGTGTCCCATACACCTTCCACGTTGGCCGTGTGGGAGATGGTTTCCAGCCAAGCCACCTGACTGTCGTAAGAGAGCAGCACCCTCAGAGGAGGCTACAGGGCCCTGACTGAGCCCTTCTGGAGGGGCCCAGGACTGGGAGAGTCTTACCTTGCCTTGTGCTATACCAAGTACCAGCACCAGGCCTTGGACAAAGAGTAAAGGCGACTACAGTTGCCAGCTCGAGGCTGGGTGGTCCCAGGTCAGGTGGCTGCTTCCTGCCTATGGAGCCCATCCAGCAGCACTCCCGAGGCAGTGCAGGGCGACCAGCTGGCCATGCACAAGCTGGCCATCAGGAGCAGTGATGTGGCCAGATCTGGGAGGGGCAGGACTGGGAGAGCCATAACCAGCGGTGGTGTCTCCTTCCAGCACAACATGCCCTTCTGGCGGATATCCTGCCACGCTGACCTGGAAGCGCTGCGGCACGCCCTGGAGCTGGAATACTTATAGCAGGACCGGACAGTCCAGGCCCCTCGCCTACCATGAGAGACCCCGATGGAGAACAAACGGCCACAGCATCCATCTCAGAAGCCAGGCGTCCCGGGGAGGGCCTGGAAACGCCAAGTACCCACCCGTGTGTGGCCTTGGAGTCTCTGACTTTGGGGGGCAAGGGCTGGTTCCAAGTTCAGATTTTTCTCCCAGACTTCAGAAAACAAAAGCAAGGAATTTGCTCCTGGGGTAGGGGGTGGGGGAGGCCAGTGAGGAGGAGGGGGCATGTTCGCGCTGTTTTTCCTTTTTAATTTATGGAGAACGCCCCCTGCTTCGGACCTAGGCTCCTGTACCTGTGCGGCTGGTTTCCTTCATTGGGTTCTTCTGTTTTCCCGGGCTGGCATGTGGGGCGGTTCCCAGGTCTTCGCCCTGCTGTGCTTGGGGGCCCTGACCACTCGAGTGTGGCGTGTTCACGAGGGAGGCATTCTGGGACTGCTGGGGGACAGTCGCTTCCTCTTGTTCTCCCCCCAACATCGCGTGGACAGTCCTCGTGCCTTATGCTGCCGTCTGGTTTACTGGGAAGGAGGGATGAAAAGCATTCCAATAAAACCACGTTTACATTTTCAAGTGAGGTTGAGAGCACGCACTCCGTCACCATTCTTGAAGCTTCTGGCCAGGCTGGTCTTTTTCAGGACATTTCAAGGACAGAAGAAACTTCAGCTCCAACACTCTGACCCCGGGGGGCGGGCGGGGGACGGGCAGGAACTGTGGGAACCTTGGGCAATGACTGGTCGGGCACAGCTGGATGCAGGCACTCCAAGGGCCCTGTCCTGGGGCAGGTCCTCAGGCAGGCTCCTTGCTGTGGTCCTAATCATGGCTGCTCCAGCAAAGCCACAGAGGTGGCCAGGCAAGCAGCCCCTCTACTACAGTGGCCCTGGCCCAAACCCCATGGTTGTTCCCTATTGGCCAAACCTCAGCCATGGGCTATCCATGGTGGATCTTCCCATGCACAGAGGGATGGAGGATAGTCTCACAGGGCTCAATCAGTTTTGATAGTTAGGGGAATAGGAATTGGGATGGACAATACAAGTGGCTTCCACTCCAGCTCTGGGATTTCACCTTCCCTTGCATGGGAAATGAAGGGACACCTTGAGCACCTGTTATGGTTCCATCTGATTGGAGGCTAAGTAGAAACATTGACTTTTCCCTCTGCCATGCTGCTGAAGCCCAGGGTTACCAGTTGGCCGAGACCCATGCCAGCAGAAAAGGGAGAGGATTTAACGCTTGGAGTATCAGAGCTGGACTTCTGATCATTAGAAATCCATCACTAAGAGAAAGAAGGAGAGCATGCGAGAGACCATCTCCTGCTAGACTCTGAATTCCCTGGAGAGTAGGTCAAGCACAGTCAAGCACAGAGCCTGACACACGTGAAATCCTTAGGAGATGGAAGGACAGACATGTAACTAGAACCATGGTTGGGTCAGTGAATGGGTGAATGGATGACTGAATCACTAGGAAGTTCAGGGGAGGGGTTAGCAGTTGAAAGGTGCGTGGAGAGTCAAATGGAGGGTGAATGGATAAGTGGGTGGGTAACTATGTTGGGACAAGATAGCTGGATAGCTCATGATTATATGGATGAATAGATGTCTGGATAATTATATGGTAAAATGGATAGATGGGTGATTTTCTTTGGATAAGTGAATGGGTGGCTTATGAAAATACAGAATCAGAGCCTGGCATGGTAGTCTAATGGCTAAAATCCTCGCCTTGCATGCACCAGGATCCCATATGGGCACTGGTTTGTGTCCCAGCTGTTCCACTTACAATCCAGCTCCCTGCTTGTGGCCTGGGAAAGTACTGGAGGATGGTTCAAAGCCTTGAAACCCTGCACCCACATGGGAGACCCAGAAGCAGCTCCTGGCTTCAGATCAGCTCAGCTCCAGTCATTGTAGCCACCTGGGGAGTGAACCAGCAGATGGAAGATGTTTCTATATCTCCTTCGCTCTGTAAATCTGGCTTTCCAATAAAAATTAAAAAAAAAAAAAAAAAAAAGGAATGACTGGAAGAGACTTACTAGGTGAAAAAATATAAGAGCCATCCTGGGAGTGATTTGGAAACTCACGGGTGCTCCCTGCTTCCCTGCACCCTTTGCCACATGGGCACCCACTTGTGACGATGATCCACCCACGTCCCTGCTACCATCAAGACTGCTATCAGGAAAAAAATATGCTTACAAAGAATGCATTCCTTATTAAAAGGAAACCTTTAACAAACGCCCGTTAGAAACACTAAAACACTTAGAATTTTAGCAACAAGACATTTCAGGAGAAACAGACCTACTCTTTGACCCTAAAATTAAACCATCAGGCGGCCAGCTACTCTCCTGTGGTGATGGCCAAATGTTGAAGGCTGGTGCTGACAGTTCAGTTGCTAAGGTAAACATTCCAGCCTGAACTCTGGTGACCCGGAACTACTGGAAAGCAAGGACAGATGCTGGCGAGAGACAGCACTCCATGAATGGATGAGTAGACAGGTGGGTGTGTAGGTGGATTGGTGGACAGATGGAAGGTAGGGTGGGAGGATGGCTGAGTAGGTGGATGAGTGGGTATGTGGATGGATGGATAGATGGGTGGCCATGCAGGTAGGTAGATGGTTGGGTAAGTGGATGAATGGATGCATGCATGGGTATATAGCTATATGGATGGCTGCGCAAATGGATGGATCGGTGGGTGGGTGTGTAGGTAGGTATAAGGATGGATGAGGGCGTAAATGGATGTGTAGCTGGCTGGATAGATGGTGGTGGGTGGTGGATGGAAGGAAGGACAAACGGATGGATGGCTGGGTAAGTGGATGTGCAGGTACAGAACAGATTCTGTAGCCCCAGGCTGCCTACCTTTGCTGTCTCCCCGTGGTGTCCACTCTGCAGAACACACTCAGAAGTGACTGAATGGACTCCTCAGGCACATGTGAAAGCTCCGGACCCGTGAGAGGCATAAGCGTGACTTGGGAGTTTCCTGAGCAGCCGGCGGTAGGAACCCAAAGGACACACACACCCCTCAAGAAAGGCCCCAGGGAATGAAGGAATTGAGCTTTCCAGGGGATTTTTAAGTCAAACAGCTCCCAGAGGGATTTTTTTTTTCCTTTGCCAAAGACAGGAATGCAATCAGAGTGGCTGGAACAAACCAACTCGGAATTCATTGGCTCACACCTGCCCCAAATGGCAGATTCAGGACATGTTTTTGAAATTCAGTCTCTCTTTCCCTCACCCCCATACTGTTTCCTCTTGTTTGGCTTCATTTATAAGTAATCATTGACATTTGTGGAGTAGAGGTTGTGCAGGGAGTAACCCAACAAATTTCCATGGACGAAGTGTTGCTTAATTCTTACAAGGACCAAGGGCCCATGAGAGAAACCAATCGAGTGCATTACACACATTCACAAGTGTCATGGCTTAAGGCTTTTCAGTTGTTTTCCTGACTTACTAAAAGCATCCCAACCTGCACAATACATCGTAATTAGTGTTTGTCTTAACAGATCACATAGGCTGTGGTTCCTACTAAGGAAATCGGAACAAGGCAATGCTGATCACTTTGATCACTTCAAAAACATTTTCTTAAAAAGAGAGAGACCAAAGTCAGATTGGCCAGGCAGGGCAGGCATTTGGCCTAGCAGGTAAGTTGCCAGTTCGTTTGCTGGGCCTCATATCAAAAACACCTGGGTTGAGTCCTGACCCTTGATTCCCACATCATAGAAGGCAGCAGGTGACAGCTTAACAGGTTGAGCCCCTGCCACCCACAACAAAGATCTGAACTGAGTTCCAGTTTCCACACTCCGCACTGGCCCGGCCCCGCCTGATTGTGCAGGTATTTGGAGAGTGGACCAGCGGATGGGAGATGTCAGTCATACTCTACCTTTCAAATAAAACGAGCCAATACTGGAGGGAAAGATCGCTAAGACATTGCCCAGTGAAAGAAGACGATGACTCCTGCCTTCATCTGTGTCAACATGAAACTGGGGGCAATCCAAGATGGCTGAAGAGGGACTAGCCAAGCCCACTTGAGTTGCTCTGTCACAGGAAAACAACACAGGAAGGATCACGTTCCCACGTGTCTGACAAGTTCTCAACAAAGTGGAAGAGTGTACACTCTGTGGGAAGGAGCAGAGCAGACAGACACATCCACAGCCAGCATGCCGCACAGCCAGCTGCAAGGCACATCCCCGAGGTATCCTGCCGTGCACCTGTTGCTTGCGGGTCCGGCTGGGAAGGGAAGCCACAGTCACCTGCTGGGGTCTGAGCCACGGCCAGCCATGGAGCAGGGAAGGCACGCTGCTTCCCTCCCTCCCTCCCTCTCCATCCCTGTCCTGCACCTTGTCTGGCAGCATAAAATCACACAGCATGTCTCTGTCACACTGATACCAGAATTGGAGTTAGAACAAATGTGCCGGGCAAAAGACCAACCTGTATCTGCAACTGCGCAAGTTCTGGGGGCATCAACTCCAGGGCTACGTCCGTGCACTCTCCGTAAGCCAGGAGGTTCAGACACCAGAGACAGCCCACTAAAGAAACCCACTCCCACCACACACAGCAGCACCAGGACTGCAATGAGTGGTTATTAATTTCTTGGTGCTGCTAGAATCTACCCCATGGCCTGACTGCACTCCAACTCTTTGCCCCCACAGATAGGAGTCATACTGGGAGCCGCTCATCCCCTGCTGTAACACTGGCTGCCTACACGTCAATCAAACACCCCCTGCCCCAGCATGCACTTGCCCTCGCCTGGGACTTGGGTATCATGCACCTACTTCCCTTTCCAGGCTGCTAAGAAGCTGGGCCAGGGAGGAGGACCTTCACCCACAGACACAGACGGAAGTCGGACAGCTCTCCAAACCTCTCCCCTCCCTACCCCTGCTGTCCCTGCGTGCGGCCCACGTGGGTGCGTGACATCCTCCTCTTTAAAAGTTACTCCGTGCCCCCAGAAGATTCGGACCTGAGAAAGTCATTGACATGAATAAAAATATTG